CGGTTCCCTAACCATTATAATTAGACCACTACTCATAGGTATACATAATATATGCGCTCTATATTTCATGTGTTGTTTATATGATTGTTATCTATTGTAAAGTGTGTGGACACTGTGGAGTACAGTATAGGCATCGATCATATTATCAACAGATTTAATTATTTGCATTACAATTAAATAGTTTGAAAACATTTTAAATAGTTTACTAATCATATTAATTTAAATTTTAAACTGAGGTTTAATTTAAATTTAAATTTTAGGTGTGAAGGATTGGACGGGTCAGTACGATATACTGTTTTATATCCTGGGCTGTTTGGGTATTACAAGTGCACTGTTTTGGTTGTTAGAGATTGGTAATAGTTTTATACATAATAAAAAGAAAAGTAATAATAATAATTTAAATTACAAAGAGAGACAAACTGTATAATTAATTATAAATTAGGTAATAATATGTGTGATTAATATCTTATTTTAATTAATATAATATTTATGCTAAATATTCATACATTAAAGCCAAAGAATCATTTGTAAAATAATACATTAATTTGTAATAATTAAAATCTAATTATTTTGTTTATTTAAATAAATTGTAAATATTTGAATAAAAAAAAGTTGACTAATAAACTATTCCATGTTTTCCAAAAATCATATTAAATTTTTATTTATACTGCAATTACAAAATATACTCGGTACATGCTAAAATTCTTTTAATAAGTAACTTAAGTAATAATTTAATTGTTTGGAAAAGTCTGTAATTACAAACTATTAAACATCAAATGCAGTATGTACCAATTATTTGTTTAAATACTAAACATACTGTAAGTCTCTCAAACTTGATTTTTCTTTTGGTGAAAATCCTTTTGAATTCAGTGTCAAAAAGTATTATCAAAACAATAAGACTTTGTATCGTTATACAGTATTGATATTTTATTTTCATTAGTAAATCCCAGCAATGAATCACTTGTTTCACTAGTATTTGCTTTCGAAAAGCCATTAAAAATCATTTATAAGTAGATATAGATTCCACGAGTTTAATGGGCTTTAGGATAATCTCGAGTGCAATATATAAGTGCTATAAATGGCATCAAAAAATAGATGTGAACTTTATATGAGTGCTATTTTTCCGGTATTATCTATTGGTTCGCCTATTTGTAAATCTTTGACATATTTTTCAATTCCTTGAACTTAAACACAGCTAAAGATCTTTTTTGTCACTTTTCAGAAGTGAATGTTTAGTGCAAATGATTTGACTAAACGTGTGCCACAAATAATCTGTGAATATAAAACTTTCATAAGAAATGATTACATTATAACATGAAATGAATTTAATGCTTCAGTAAAAGAGTTAGAATTTGAGATTTTAAGTCATTTTGTTTTTGGTCTAGTTGTAGTTAAAGTTTAAATTTTAATTAAATTCATCAAATTGGTTATAAAATGATTAATTTCTCGATTATTTTATATTTACATTGTGTCTCACTTTTAATTACAAACACTTTCGCTCAAAATGTGACCGAAATTGAGTCAAACAATAC